GGATACGCTGCTGCGTGCTTTCTCCATAAACACCCTCACCCTCCAGCGCGGCCGTCCGCCCCGATGCTCCACTGCTTCACGTCTGCTTGTTTAACTCCAGCGTCAGCCTCGTTCACAGGGTCAAGGGCCAGAATAAACCAGCGTTCCCAGAACACCCACCAGCTCCAGCCGCTTGCAGGAAAAGGCACGCACGCAAACCCGCAGAGGAGAGGAGAAATGCACCCAGCGACATCCCCATCGCGGCCCCGCTCGCCGCCTGTGCCCCGGCACCACTTTGGGATGAGGAGGGTTCGAGGGATGACACAGCCCCATCCCCACGTGGGGCTCGTCGGCGTTGGCGCGGACCCGGGCAGGGCAAAGTCTGGGGGTTATTGGGCAAACGCGAGGCGCCGAGCCCTGCCCGACGGGAGCTGCCGGCAGGCAGGCAGGGGCAAGCCCGCCGTTCCCCACAGCACGGCTCAGCGCCGTGCCCAGCTCCGCTGCACCGCGCCGGCGGCCCCTTGGGAAAAGCATCCCCAACCCTGCTAAGCTGCTGCCGGGTTTAATTCCCTCCCAGCAAGCGGCTGCTGAGGATGCGGCAAACCCTTCGTCCCAAAGGGACGTGGCGACAGCCCCGGAGCAATCACGACTCGGCGGCACGTCCTACCTGAGCCCTCTGGCACTGCCAGTTCCCCACGGTGGCCTCTGCCCTCCTACACAAAGTCTTCTCCCTCTGCCTGCCCCTGCGCGTGCCGGAGGGGACCAGGGCTATACCGAGCACTGTCGACACCCCGCGCTCCCCAAACAGCCCCCTCTGTCCCAGGGAGCACCCAAAATGCCAACTCACAGCACACTCACTGCCCTTTGCAGGCTCGTTAAATCACGCACAAGGCACATTGCATCATATGTCCTCATCTTTCGTCCACCTCTGCTGGGATGGTCCCCACTCCCAGCCATGATGATGATGCCCAAAGCCTGTGGTGAGGACCACTGAGGCTCTGATTTATCAGCATCCCCCCTTATCATAGAGTGCTTTGAGTTGGAAGGGACCTTGAAGACCACCCAGTGCCACCCCCTGCCCTGGGCAGGGCCACCTCCCCCCAGCCCAGGTTGCTCCAAGCCCCGTCCAACCTGGCCTTGAACACCTCCAGGGATGGGGCAGCCACAGCTTCTCGGGGCAACCTGCCCCAGGGGATCACCACCCGCACAGGAGAGAATTTCTTCCCAATATCTCATCTCCATCTCCCCTCTTTCAGTGTCAAACTGTCCCCTCTCATCCCAAGACTCCCCTCCCTGATCCAGAGTCCCCCCCCAGCTCTCCCGGAGCCCCTTTAGGCACTGGAAGGGGCTCTGAGGTCTCCCCTTTTTCGCCTTCTCTTCTCCAGGCTGAACCCCCCCAACTCTCCCAGAATGTCATCATTTTGGGTCTTCCAAATGCAGCTCGATGGGGTGGCAGTCAGGTTTTTTCCTTACCTATTTACCTGATGAACTCCCATCCCTGTGCTGTTTGGCAAGGCGTTTCACAGACGCACATCACCCGACCAAGATTTCACTTACAAACTGCTCTGATGGGTTTGGGGAGGGGAAATCGCGTTGCACCTGCGGTGGGCACAGAAAACACGCAGGGCTGGTGATGTTTATCCACGGGGTCTCAACCTCTGTGCCCATTCCCGATCTCTCCGCCTTCCCTTGGCCACCTCACCCCTGGAAGCGGTCAGGATTTAAAACTTCTCCATCATCTCAGTGCCTGTAAGTTTTACGCAGATCACTCCCTGCGCTGCCCTGCAGCCCCGGCAAATCTGATTAAAGCAGGAGACTTGACATACAAGTCTGTCTCTCCATTGAATTAGCCCTTCTTTGGGCTTTCCAGAGCACGCTCCAGTCGCTGCTTTACCGATCACCCCGGTGCCCTGACGGCAGTGGCCAGAGAAGACACCTCCAATCTCTCCATCTGGGGTGCAGAATCCCCGGCGCTGTCTGGAGCGGTG